GGAGCTGTCCGTGAATGATCTTGTAGCCACTAGATGGCACCAAACAATTGAAGATCAATAACAGCATCTCATGCTGTCAAACCAGTGGGAAATGGAAGAAACGGGACGTCACAGGTGGATTTCTCTTCCTGTGGTGGGGGTTTGCCTGGTAAGTTACCTAGAATCACGACTCTGGTGTGTGGCAAGCAGGACATTGGCTTAAATCTGCCATCTCTGGGTATTGGGCCTAGCCGAGGCAATGCCCCAGTGCAGGGAGTTAGTGGGACAAAAAGGAGCAGGGTGCTCTGGCTTTCCAAAAGAGACCTGAGTCCTAGTGGCGTGTGTCACGTCTCTGGGCAAAGCAGCCGAGGGGCAGGTTGTGTCAGGTGTGGTGTGAGATCCTTCCTCTTCCCTGAAGGATCGGTGATCTTGAGCTAGTGGGGAGACTGGAGGCCAGTGTCTTCAGGCTGGGCTTTGCGGATGAGCCAGCAGGTTATCCAGGAAAAGTCTGCTGTCCCACAGGGCACTGAGATGATGTGCGCACGCTCCCCGGCTGGTGACCTTGCAATGAGCCGTACAGCAATCTGAAATGCAGGCGTTGCCCTGTGTGGGAAGGATCCTATGGCGACCTCAGGCCAGGCGAGAGAGCCAGAGAAAGTGTGAGATAAGATCTTCCCCCTCCAAACAGCAGTTGCGGATCCTTCCTAAAAGTGGGGGAGCCCCTTGCCTCCTCCATGGCCCCACCCCAACCCTTCCACCTGAGGCCTCACCACGACCAAGCCAGAAGCCAGAGTGAGCAGAGAGCTGTGGACCCTCCACCTGCCCGGGGGGTGGGGAGGGGTGGGCGATAGCATCCCCCAGCCCATGTCCCTGCCCCGTGGACCCACCGCCCAGGGCAGGTGGAGGGTTTGTGGCTCCTCACAGCTGCCCATGTGGCTCTCCCTGACCTGGCTCCGGCCAGAGGATGGGGCGTCAGAGCCACGCAGCCCTGCTGTGGTAAGAGCCGCGTGGCCAGGCAGCTGTGGGGATCCGCGGACCCTCCACCTGTCCTGGGTGTGGGGCCCAGGGAGCGGGGACATGGGCTTGGGGTTGCTCTTGCCCCCCACCCCACCCCGGGCAGACGGAGGGTCTGTGGCGCGGTGCCCCACGCTGCCTGGCCTCCCGGGCTAGGCTCCAGCTGCCGGCCTGGCCTGGGGGCGGGGCCTCGGGAGGAAGAGGAGGGGCGGGCCGTGGCAAAAACGGGGAGGGCCATGGCCCTCTGACCTTCCCAGTTCTGGCGCCATTGCCTCCATAGCTGGCCATGTTCTCTGCTCTGGCTCCTTCTCCTCCGCAGCCGGTTACAAAAGCAGGATGATACGATTGCGGGGTTTATCCCGGGCAGGGAGTGACGCTGACTGTCTCCAGCGTGGTCTAGGGCTTGGCGAGAGACTCTCCCTGAGTTGCTGGCTAAAGGTTTGTGAATCAGGTTACTCCTCTGTGGATGGTGGCGCCGCCAGCCACGGCTGGCTTTGAAGGTTGTCAGTTTGGATCCGGTCCCAAGTCTTGAGGCTGGGCCATGGGCCGTGGTCTCTGTGGAGTTTTCACACTGGGAAATTCTGCCTTCCTCTCTGGAGACCTCGGTCGTTATGGTTTTATGGAGGCGAGCTCTACCCTTAACAATCTGACCTTGCTCATAACTACCCTGAGTGTGTGTGTGTGGCGGTAGGGGGGGGCCTCATATTCTAATCACTCTCCACCTCTGGCCCTGTGTTCTCACTGGCCTGGTCTCTTTCACCCTTTGTCTGTTTGGTTCAGGTGTTTTGTGGCCATTCGGATAATTAGCTGTCTATTGGCTCAGTGGGTTGGTTTTTCCACCTCCATTTTGGAGCATTACAAATTAGACTTGAGGATGATGGGGATTCAAGCCCGTTGCTGCTTAAGCATCGTGCGACTTCATCTTTTGATGCCAAAATCCAGATAACTGCCTTCAGAGGTCTTTTTATGTTCCTTTTGTTCTACAGCCAGGAAGAGCAGCGCTCCATCCCATTGCTAAAATTCTCTCTGGATGAAAACTGCTTGAGAATTACAGAAACAGTGATGTAGGATCACAGCTGGCTTTGCCAGAGGCTTGAATGTCCATTTGAGAAGACATCCGCCAAAGGCCATACACGGGTTGCACAGAGGAGCTAAGAAAAATGGCATTTCGGACTAAGTGGAGGATCTCAATAACCAGCTTAGGCAAGAGTTTCATCGAGTTCTTGAGAGCCCCAAAAAGCATGGAGTCTGGTGACTGGGGGAATAGCTTTTCTGCGAGAGTAGTAGAGGTTTTAGGAATGACAGAGGTATCAGGGCCTCAGTTCCCCTGATCCAGCTGAGTTTCGATTGGCATGATGTCTACCCTCTGTGAAACAAGATGGAGTTCGGCTGTGAGAATACACACGGGTGGACGCGATGGACTCTAAACCCTACACTGGCCAGGAAAGTGTTGATGAGTAGCGTTGGGCTGAGCCAGCCCCGCTCTGCTACCCCTGCAGTAGGCGTCAGACTTGGAGGGGAGAGCTGAGCTCAGCTGGGGGCTGACTGGAAAGGACCGCAGGCTTCCAGCTCTCATTCTGTGAGGGAGAGGCCAGGCTGGGGTCAGGAACTGACTGGAGCCTGCAGCCTGCCAGAGCCTCCCTGAGGGAAGGTAGCACTGACGTGGGAATACTGCTGTGATGTGCTACCAGTAACTGGCGTGTTGTTGTTGAGTGAGACTGCTGGAGGCGGTGCCCTGCCTGAACGGGGGAACAGCCAAATAAATGTTTGTGCACCCGGTCAGGGAGCCAGCAGTGCTTTGTCAAGAGCCCGGGAGTAACCCGGCCACGCAGGAATTCAGGTGACACACAGCATTATCTGCTTCCCCTTACGGGGCATCGCCTGTCCTTTTGCAAAGGAGAACAATTGGTGTGGTTAAAAAAAGAAGCGTCCTCTGCTGGCAACTTACACAGCTTTCCCCCGGGGCAGGGAGGCTGGTCACAGAGGTGGGTCCACATTTTCAAAACCCGAGTCTAATGAGGCTCCGAAGGATGGGATTTTCAAAAGCACCTAAGTCACTTAGGAGCACAAGTCCTTTGCCTCAGTTCCTCAAAGGTAGTGAGATGCCTAACTCCTACTGAAATCCAATGAGAGTTAGGAGCCTAAATGCCTTGGAGAATCTGGGCTGTTGTGCCTTTATGCAGACTTAGCAGCCAACAATTAGGCTCCTGTTTTTGAAAACTTTGGCTGTGGGAAATTTACTCATTGGAAAGACTGAACAAGATGAGAGTGGGGAGTGAATTCCTGGGATCCAGAGCTTTGAGGGAGATGGGTATCTCTGATGGTTGGCAGTTGGACACCAGGGGAAGGGTCCCTAATAGTTTGGAAATAGTATATTGCGTGCGTGGCTGCTGTGGGTTGCAGATGAGGAATCTAAAATTCCCAGCAGCTTGACTAACCCGGTGTCCCTGCCCTGGCTGTGTGATATAGCCCAGGCGTAGCTGAACCCTGGATATTGTTGGACTGGAAAACTTTGTTTATTTTGTATTTTTAACATAAGAGTTCAGCCAGAAGTTCTGCCTGGTGGATATGACGGTACGTCAGAGGGGTTGAATGCTTATTACTTGTTCATGCGATGAGCCCAATCCTGGAGGGAGCTGAGCGCCTGCTGAGAAGTGCTGAATCGGAATACGACGACTGTATTATTAAAGATTGCCAGGAGCTGCCTCACAGCAGTGGCTTTCAGTCTTTCCAGACGACTGTCCCCCTTTCAGGAGTCTGATTTGTCTTGCATACCCCCAAGTTTCACCTCACTTAAAAACTACCCGCTTACAAAATCAGACATCAAAATACAAAAGTGTCCCAGAACACTAGTACTGAACAATGGCTGACTTTCTCCTTTTTACCACATACTTCTTAAATAATTCAATTGGAATAGAAATATTGCACTTACATAGAGCAGTATAAACAACTCAGTGTCTGTACGAAATTTTAGTTTGTACTGACTTTGCTAGTGCTTTTTATGTAGCCTGTTGTAAAAGCAGGCAAATATCTAGCTGAGTTGATGTACCCCCTGGAAGACCTCTGTGTACCCCTACTACCACTGCCTTAAAGAACATGCTGGCTGCTGGTAAATAAACATGGACTATAATATCTAGCTGCTGCATGAATATTTCTCTTCATGTTAAAGATTGCTGAGCAAAATGGCTTGATTGCAATCCAGGAGACCAGTTCTAATATGATGCCACGTCCTCCCTTTCATACCCCTTTTCTTTTGGCACTGAAATGATTTTGGGGTGGGAGAGGAGTACCAGAAGCTATCCAAGATTAGAGCTATTAAATAAGACAACTGGCCAGCTCTGATTTAGGGGGACGTACTTGCATCTTGCAGCTCCGATAGCTACACAAGCCATTTGTCCTTTGCTGTAATGTTTTGACATCACCTTACTGTCTTAATGGCATCATAACCCCACCATTCAGAGCTGATTGTCCTGTCTTCTGTACGTACAATGTACACGGTGCAGAAAAAGCAGCAAGTTAACACTTCACTGAACGCGAAACTGCTACCGGCACTTCACTGAGTGGCATAATCAGCCACACAGAGGAAGCAAAAATGAGCCAAACATGCTGTGATAATTAATACATTGGCAGACAGGGGAACAATAGTTCAACTGAATTTTAATAAGTTCCATAGCAATGAAACTATTATTGGGATGATGGGTGAGGTTCATTTAGGGCCAGGTTCTGATACCCTTGCTCACCAGCCTGGTATCTTACTATGTGAGCAGTCCCATTGATTTCAATGGCAGTACTCCAGGACTAAGGCACCACTCTGCATGAGTAAGTATATCAGAATCTAGCCCTCAACACTGCAGTTACGGTAGGTCCAAAGCCAAAGGGATTTCTAACATGGATATTACCGTATATTTCGGTATTTAACTAAGTGCTCATTTGGAAAGCGCTCTGCCTAAATAATTCATCTTTGACTCCTCCAACTTTATTGTAAATATTTTTGTTTTCCGCTGCAGGAACCCAAGGAATTTCACTTGCCAAAGTAAACTGCTGGGACTGGCCTGATGTCTGCATGAAGCAGAATGTCACCCAATTTCCCATTACCAAGATGTATGAGAAGGGAGCAAGGTCACTGACTTACACTGGCATGCTCGGAACAGCAGAGCTGCTCAGATTCCTGAGGCTGTGAGTGTCCTGTTGATGCCAGTGTCATTAGTATTTCAGCTTGACATTTCTGAAGGATCTTTACTGTCCCAGAAGTTGAACCATAGTCTATTTACATAGTCATAGTTTGGAACTTAATCTTAGTTTCAACACCAGGCTTAGAGTTTAGTTGGTAGGTCTGGAATGAGCTTAACAACCTTCCACACCTTTTCACTATCAGGAAATAACTTTTCTTAAAGGATACGTCCATCCACTGGTTGGACTCTCCCTGTCACAATAGAGAGACACCTTATGTTGGTTTATTGTTTGGAGAGTCATGACCTACGGGCCTCCAAACCCAGGTCCACAGGAGCAGCCATGCTCCAACCCTCCACTTAGCAACCTGCTGACAGCTCCTTACCCAGGACCCGTGAAGCCCAGGCCCAGTTTGAGGCTCCACCCCGAGGTCCTATTGGCAGAGTCCCAGAGCAGCTGATTGGCCCACTGGCCCTACTTAAGCCAGCAGCAGGAACAGGAAACTGTCCAAACAACTGGGATCCATCCCGCTCCCCCAGTTTGACTTCCTGGCATCTGACTTGTGGTTCTGATATCCATTTTGTCTTGTGCCTCTGACCCCCTGGTATCCAGTTTGTGCCTCTGACCCCCTGGTATCCTGACCCGGCCTGACCCAACTTGTGGTTCTGATCTCAAGTTTGTCTCCTGCTTCTGATCTACTGGTATCCTTGACTCTTGTCTCTATGACTGTGGACTCCAGCTCTGACCACTAGGTCTGGCTGCCCATGACCCAGCCGTGACCACTTGTTCGGACCACAATAACTGCAGGGCCAAGTCCGGTGCCCACGACCCAGCCGCACTGCCACAGCCACCAGAAGCATAGGACTCCCCTGAATGGGACCTCCTCCTCCAGGTGGATAATCAAGCACTGCAGGCACAAGTTGCTCAGATGATCAGGGACAACCAGCAGCTGCAGGAGTGCCTGAGGCAGCTGAACACCGACAATGTCATGCTGTGAGCGCCGCCTGCCGTACCCTGGCATGAATGGTTGAATGGGAACCGCAGGCAGTTCCACGGATTCATGAACCAATGCCACCTTCTGTTTCTGATGTGTCCCAGAATCTATGCCTCTGACCAGGCCAAGGTGGCCCTGGTAATCAGCCTGCTGACAGGAGATGTGTTAGACTGCCCCCGCGTGCTGGAAGATTGTAGGCTGGTGCTGTTGAACTGGGATGCCTTTCTCCAGCTAATATCAATCATCTTCGATGACCCACCCTGAGCTCGAATGGCCGAGGCCACCCTGAGAAGACTTCGGCAGGGGCGCAAGGCACAACGGCCTCCTGTGTGGAACACGTCCGTCGCCTCACAGCGGATACAGAGTGCAACGAAACAGCCCAGCTGTACCAGTTCCAGTGGGGGCTTGCAGGAAGAAATCAAAGACAAACTGGCCTGGGTAGAGATGCCTGCAGGTCTAGACACCCTTGTGGACCTTGCCATCTGCACAGATGAGCGGCTGTGAGAATGAAGAAAGGAGAAAAGATGTTCCTTGCAGTCCCTCTACAGGCCTACTGGGACCTCACCTTGTGTATCGCCCACCAAACCTGTGCAAGCCAACCTGGCTCATCAGCGCCTCACTCCTGAAGAAAAAGAACGGTACTGTCGGTGCCATCTGTGCTTCTACTGCAGCGAACCTGGCCATGTCATCTCGACCTGCCCAGTACGAATGCCAAGCAGCTTGGGGAAACAAGTCCATCCAGACACAGTGGGGGGAACCGGCCTGGTCCTTGAGGGAAAATAATTTCCCTGTACCCTAGTCCTCACTGAGACCCACCCCGAGTCCCATCCAGAGGCTTCCCATTTGCAGGTATCTATCCAGCTGCGCATCCTGGGAGATCCCCGGCAGATCCCCCTCCAAGAGACCCTCATCGATTCGGGAGCAGCAGACAATTTTGTGGATCCAGCTACAGCTCAGGCCCTACAGATTCCCCTGCAACACGAGGCCATGCTGGAGATGACTGGAACTATTGATGGCTCTCCACTGTCTTTGGGTCCAGATGTGGAGGAGACTGTCCCCCTGGAGGCTGTTATTCAGGGACACGGAGATAATTCGATCTGGCATGATCCATTCTGCACATTTTCCCCTGATCGTTGGCGTCTCCTGGCTAACCCTTCATGGCCCCCTCATTCATTGGTGAGAACAGAAGGTCACTTTCATATCAGAATTCTGCTGACGGTGCGGCCAGGGACCAGGAAGGGTTGCACTCAGGCCCAAGAAGGTTCAAATAGGTATAGTTTCCCACATCGAAACATCTACTGGGGGAACTATGGAATTCCCCCACCCCTCCCAGTACTGCAGCGATGCTTATGTCTTTAAAAAAAGAATGCAGAAAGCCTCCCCCCACATTGGGACTATGATTGTCCTATAGAACTCCTGCCAGTGGTGAAGATATCGTCTGGGCGGATCTACGCAATGTCAGAGCCTGAACTGGCAGCGTTACAAGGACACCTCCAAGAGAACCTGGCACGGGGGTTCATTTGCAGGTCAACCTCACCAGCCCATGCCCCAGTCCTTTTCATAAAAAAGGACGGCAGCCTCCACCTCTGTGTTGATTACCAAGCCTTAAATCAACTAAGTGCAGAACCACTAACCACTAACCCTAATCTCTGAGTTGTTGGACGATGTGGGGGCTGCCCGCATATACACTAAACTGGATCTCCGATGAGCTTACAGTCTCATCTGTATCCAAGAGGGGGACTGCCTTTCAGACCTGCTATGGACAGTTTGTATATTTGGTCATCCCATTTGGGTTGACTAATGCCCCAGCAACATTCCAGCACTTCATTAATGGTGTGCAACAAGATCTACTGGGTCAGTTTGTAGTTGTATACTCAGATGATATATTGGTCTTCTCAGATGATCTGGACCAACACACCATTCACATCTGCATAGTCCTGGAGAGAATCTGTCAACACGGTCTCTACGGTAAATTCGAAAAGTACTCATTTGATCAGACCTCAACTGAGTTCCTAGGTTTCATCCTGTCCCCAGAAGGAATCAAGATGGATCCATTCAAGGTCTAGGCTGTCTGCTACTTGGCAGCCCTCCCACCTCCCCCCCCCCCATGTGTACAGCCTATAACGTTTTCTAGGCTTTGCAAACTTTTACTGGAGGTTCATCTCAAATTTTTCAAAACAAGTGCTTGGATGAGATCAGCTCTTGGATGTAGAACAACTGTCTGAAGCTGAACCCAAGCAAGGCAGAGGTGAGGCTGGTGGGCAGAGGAAATTATTTCGGGGCATTTTCAGCCACGGTGCTGTCTGCTTTGATTTGAAGGTTCACACCCACAATTGGTCCATCAGTCTGTAGTCTAGGAGTACTCTTGGATTCCTCACTGACGCTGAGCTCTGACACCGCGATGGCCGTGAGTAACGCTTTCTACCATCTCCGGTTGGCTTGGAGGCTCCATCCCATCCTGGTGGATGAAGACCTGGCCTCTCTTATTCATGCCTTCATCACCTTTTGGCTGGACTACAGCAACATGTTGTACTTGGGCATGAAACCTTCAGCTCGTAGGAAACTCCAGTTAGTACAAAACACTGCAGCGCATCTTCTCAGCAACACAGGCTGTCATGAGCCCATCAGACCTGTCCTCTGCTCTCTATGCTAGCTTCCCGCAGAATTTTGAATCCAGTTCATGGTCTCAGTCCTTATCTTTAAAGAGCTTCTTGGCCTGGGCCCAGGTTACCTAAAAGACTGTTTAAAACTCTGGGACGAAGAGCAGAGTTGCCAACCACCGTCTTCTGGCCCAATGGTGCTCTCAGCAATAAAAGTCAAGCTCATCTGTGCAGGAGACAGAACTTTCTCTGGGGTGGGTCCGAGTAGGGTGACCAGACAGCAAATGTGAAAAATAGGGACAGGGGTTGGGGGTAATAGGAGCCTATATAAGAAAAAGACCCAAAAATTGGGACTGTCCCTATAAAATCGGGACATCTGGTCACCCTAGGTCCGAGCCTGTGTAATGAACTCCCATGGGAACTAAAGACCATCACAAGCCTCCCCACTTTCTGCTCCAAGTGCAAGGTGCATTTCTTGACCTTGCCATTTCTAATATAAACACGGAGTAACGGGTATGTTTAACGAACAAAAACCCACACTACCGAAACAAGAAGCTCCACTCCACATGCTTCTCCCTCTGGGGAGAGGATGAGAGAGCAAACCCACGACAGATGAGTAGTCATGACACGGGTCTGCTGTCCCTTCCCAGAAGCCGGTTGGGATTTTCCCTGGTGTCTCTGTCTTCCGTTGCACTCACTCTGTTGTGGTTTTTGCTTATTTAACACAGCTGCATGTTTTGGGGGTTTTTTTTAATCATGTTGAACAAAGCATCTCCCCCCGCCTATCATTCATTTCTCTAGAAGCAGCATTTCCTGCCCTGTGAAGCTGACTACCATTGAAGAAGTGGATGAATATTTAAGCGGGGAAGTCCATGCCGACTCGTCTTCTTACCACAGCACATCAGTTCTGGGAATATTTCACCCTCGCATGAAAGCAGGTAAACGTGGCACTTTGAGAGAGAGAGAGAGAGAATACAAGGTTAGCAGTATTAGGAGCTCCTATCTGGTACCTAAAGATGAGGATTTCTGCCATTTGAGAGGAACTCATTGGTTCCTTGTTTGCTAAATGATGTAACTGGGCATATGTGGTCACACTGATTATTTGCAGTACGGTAGTGTCTAGAGGCCCTACATGAGAGCACAGCCCCATTGTACTATGGGCTGTACAACTCGTGGGAGACAGTCCCTGCCCTGGAAAGCTTACAGTCTAAATAGACAAGATGCACAAAGGGTGAGAGAACAAACAGTGGTGAAGTGACTCATCCAAGAAGCTGAGAACAGACCCCAGATATCCTGAGCCCTAGTTTAGTGCTTTGTCTACCGGACCAGTCTGGCTCTCTGTTGGTGCACTCCCAACAAAGGCTGTTCCAGAGAATGAGGCCCTACACCCCAGTTCTGCAAGCAGGTACATATGGGATGATGCTTGTGCCCTGGCATTGACTTCAGTGGCTCTCCACACTGGGACACAGGTCCATCCACATGCTGCAGGATCGGGGCCCTGCTAAGTTAAATCCTCCCTTTAGAAGTTTTCTAGTGATCTTTTTCCTGTAGGTTCTGGATCAAACCTGTTAATGATGGTCTGTTGATTGTCCTCCAAAGGAAGCGATTTCCACACGCAGGCAATAACTCATTTCCTCTCTCAGAGCAAAATATTGAAGTAAATTACAGCCCTCCAGAGAGAGAGCGCATGGCTGCAGAGGTGAAAGATGTGCATGCAGTGGATCGCATGTATTCCTCACGTAGCAGCGCTCTGCGAGAAATGCTATCCAGGCAGAAAGGAGTAGCCAACGTAGCACTGCAGTGCGGGCATTATAGGTAAAATGGAGATGGCACTTCCCTTATCAGCCCTGTGTCCCACAGCTCTTAATATCCCCAAGACATGCACCTTCTGGGATTGACTGTTCTCCTGCCTAATGGTTTTTTCCAGCCTGCTCCAGAATAAAGGCTGTATGTGCTGAATAGGGTTAAACCACGCTTGTTTCTTGGGGGTTGGCTTTATTGACAGTCGTCCCCTATAATACCCCCTGTATTCCAGCCCATGCCTCCTCTCCTAGCTTGGCTACCCCCCCTAGGGCTCCGTCTTTCAGACTTTCATGTTCTCTTTAGCACTGTGTAGGCTAGTGGCTAGAGCACGGGTCTGGGACTCAAAAGATCTGGGTTCAATTCCTAGCTCGGCCTCCTGGGTGAGCCCGGGCAAGTCACTTCCCCTCTCTGTAGCTACATTTCCCCATCTAGCTAATGACACAGCCCTCCTTGGTGAAGTGCTTTTAGATCTACTGATGAGAAGCGCTGTGTAAGAGGTAGGTGTTTTATTATTATTACCTGGAAGGCCTCCCTTTATGTGCAGGGTGGCGTTACGTAGGATTGGAAGGGATGTCCTGGCTCATTGTCGCAGGCAGCCCCAGGAAATAATCGCATTTATAAATGTATCAAGTTCCGCCTTGAAACCTGTCAGATTGTTTGGGCTGGTCCACACTAAGCCCCCAGTTCGAACTAAGATACGCAACTTCAGCTACGTGAATAACGTAGCTGAAGTCGAAGTATCTTAGTTCGAACTTAAAGGTACTTATCGCGGGTCCACACGCGGCAGGCAGGCTCCCCCGTCGACTCCGCCTACTCCTCTCGCGGAGCGGCGAGCACTTCCGGGATCGATTTATCGCGTCTAGACAAGACGCGATAAATCGATCCCAGAAGGTGGATTGCTTGCTGCCGAACCAGCGGGTAAGTATAGATGTACCCTTAGTTTGCTCCCACTACTCCTGTTGGGAGGCCGTTCCAGAACCTCCCTCCTCTGACGGTTAGAACCCTTCTGATTTCCAGCCTAAATTTACTCATGGACAGTCTGTACCTCTTTGGTCTTGTGACCCCCTTATGCATTAGCTTAACTAGCTCTTCTCCCTCCCTGGGATTCCTCCTGCTGATGTATTTATAGAGAGCAATCAGAGCCCCTTGCAGCCTTCGTTTTACCAGCTGAACAAGCCCAGCTCTTTTGTTAACCAGCTACATTGAGTCTGCAGGGTTCCAACCCCCGCCAGCAAGGGATGGAGCAACAGAAGAGCCCAAGTACCCAGTCACACAAAGGGTTTGTCTGTGTTGTGGGGGAGTCTCCAGATAATCTCTTGGTGGGTCTGAGTTACCTGAGGGTGAGAGAGATGTTTGCACTGTTAACACAGCGTTAACACTTTTTGTTATTTGCAAGTGGATAACTCAAGATCAGCCTTAAGGGTTTGTTGTTTTTTTAACTCTGCCCGCTACATGTCCACCATCCTGAGAGTAGAACGCATGATTTCCGTGTGAACTCAAGTACCGGTGGTTTAAACATAACAGAGTGCCTAGGCACTCAGTTACTACGGCCACAAGTAACCACCTAGATTATTTTCCTTCCCTTCCAAACGTCATACTGAGCTATGATGCACCAACTGGGTACGCGAGAGAAGGAAGGTAGGTTTGATTGGCTGATATGTAAGAAGGAGCCATGGAGATCAAACCACAACCGTAGATGTGAGGATTGTGCGTGTCAAGTTTTGGTGTGAACTCTGCATCATGCTCAGCTTTACAAACGACCACCCTCCTTAATCTTTCCAGCCCCTGCAGCAAGCGGTAGAACGTTCATGCTCATGGCAGAACAATCTCTGACTATGCGGCTGCAGTGGCATACGTGCCTCGTGGAATGAATAAGTTATGAGAGATGCAGTAATCTGCTGCTGTAGGGCTAGCGGAAAGAAGTGAGCATACAAGAGCATATCAGGCCCATCTTCCTGTTCTGCCACCGGCTCCTGGTCAGCTTTTGGTGACAGTTTAAAACCTTGTCCTAATCTTCAGCTCAATTAATGGATAAACCCCCAGCTAGATTGAAGAGTTCCTCTGGGACAATGCAGCTCACAAATATCATGACAGTGTGCGTGAGAGCCAAGGACAAAGCATTCTCAGTTGAGGGGATCTAGCTATGGAACAAACTTCCAGGGAAAATCAAGGTCCAGCCAATCCAAAGACTGATGATCTCAAGGAAACGCTACACACCCTTCCTCTCCAAAAAGGCCTTCCAACTGTGAGAATGCCATTCCCCCCTTCTGCCCAGCAAATCTCAACCAACCCACAATCCACCCAACTCCTGGAACAAACTAAACCAAAAGTACCGTTAATAAATTTTTTAAAAATCAAAATCAAAACCTACCCCAAGTAGAGCTTCTACCCCATAAAAGGAGAAGTGCCAGTGACTCTTGAAATCCACAGGGACTTCACTGTTGCTAATAACTTTATATGGAAGGTGTCCAGCCACTGTACTTATGGACAGTGGTATTAAACCTTAAGCTAAATAGATAGGACAACTGAAAAATCCTGATGGTCATCTTACTTTACAAGCTAAGCAGGGGTGGAAGTGATTAGTGCTTGGACCCACTGAAAATCTTTGGTGAGGTGTCGGTGGTTACTCTTAATAATTGTATCTGCTGAGGACTCAGGGTCGAGAGGAGGGGTAGTGAGTCAGATTGCTATGACTGCACACGCAAATGAGTTGGATCCACTGGGTCGTTAGGCAGGCAGTAGGTGCACAATAGCATGTGCATTCTTTTGCATGGACCTCCGGCATCTTCCTTAAAACATGTGATCTTCTCTCCTGGCCGATGGGAAATAATACTCTGCGCTGACATTTCCGCAGGTTGAGTTCTGCTCCTGTTTTCTCACTTGGTTCCCACGAACCCCATTCTACCCCTTCCCCTCCTCCATAACCTGATCTCTGCAGAGGGGCTTCCAGGACGTCGGAAGAAAGGATGGGTCTGCTGGCACAAGCGGAACCTGCCTCCCGCACCTTTCCGAGCCCCACGGGTTTCCATCTTCTCCATCAGCAGACGGAGAGGAGGCAATCTGGTCCATGATGTTTCTAAATGGAACCAGCCCTGACTTTAATGTGAGAGAGTTAAATGACTATAAATCAACCCGGAAAGGGAGAATGGGCAGGCACAGTTCCCCTCAAAAACAGCTCAAGAAATAGCCTGGCTCGCCATGCCCCAGTCAAAGCCAAACTGAACACAAGTGGCCTTTTGACCCCACATCCTGTCAGTTATCTTCACCCAGCTTGGAAATCTGAGAACCTCGGGCCGTGGTTGGAAAGCAGAAAGAGGGAAGCTTTGCAGCTGGGAAGAGAATCTGCCTGCCAGAGGCAGATTGGTTACATCTTGTTCCATAGCACTGTTTTCTGTACTGCACTTCATACTGGCTTCAGATACGCACACGCACAACCCATGCTCTTACAGAAGGGGGTAAAAATGTGTTGAGGGCACAACATGAGTGTAATAGAATTAAAGGTACAGGACTAATCGGCAATAGTTAAGGCACATTACAATCTTCAAACAGTAATAATAGTATTTAACACCGCTATAGAGCCTGATCCAAAGCCCATTAAAGTTAATGGAAAGGCACCTATTGACTCCCATGGGTTTTGGATCATTTTCATCAGTAGAACCTGAAGCATTTTTTATAATGGTGGTGGGCACTGTCCTCTCCATTTTAGAAACTGAGCACCAGGCCCAGCTTTTCAAAAGCCGCTTCTAGTTTTGAGCGCATCGGGGCGGGGCCCACAAATCGAGGCCTTCAAAATGAATGACTGCGTCCAAAAGATGTGGGACGTGCCCGACATTCCAGATCAAGTCAGAAATAGAGCAAGGGACAGATCCCGGGTCTCCTGACTCAGGGGAAAGCTCACCTCTTTGCTTAGCAGAATGAGGACGTCTCTGGATATTTTTCTCATGACACTTTTACTCCAGAACACCATATGATGTCATAGGCTTGGTTTTTCCAGGAACCGAAGTTAGACTAACAGGATGTCCAGCTATAAACAAAAGAACAATTAATGCACTTTCAATTAAATTGTATTATTAGATAACCATTCAAGGGACCAATAAACATTTTCCTAAGGGTTTGTCTACAGGGGGAAATGTAC